GGGTTAAGGGCCTTGCTCAGGGGCCCAACGGAGTAGGATTCCTCTGCCGGCCGCGGGATTTGAACTGGCAACCTTCCAGCCACAGGCGCAGATCCTGAGCCACAGAGCCACTGCTCCGCCCCCAAAAATGAGCAGTACTCGGCCCTCCTGTAGTCTGGGGTTCAAGGAACAGTGACCACGTGACCTCTGCCAGCGTCTCCAGCCTGGAGGAGCTGGAGGCTGAGAGGTGCCCAGTGTGATAAATGCTCCGCTCCGACTTCAGCTCTCGTCCTGCCTTGCGACACCGTTTGATTTTCTTTCCCGTTGACTTGGACAGCTTTTCAATTTTGAATCCAGTTTTTAAAACCGGAAAAAAAGAGTAGGAACCGCTAATCCGATTTGTTCTGGCTTTTAAATCTGGCTCAGTCGCTTTTGATCGAAACCCGACACGATCGTGTTCTCTGCAGAAACCTCCGCTCCTGCTGTCCTGCTGGGGCTCGTGACGTATCGTGCCGGCTCCTTGTTTTGCACAGGACAGACCCACTGCGTCTCTTAAACAGCTGCATGGCAGCCTGGTAGCTGCCGTCTGTTCTGTCTCTGATTAAGTAACGAAATGCTGTTGGGGGATTGTGTGACTCTCGTAACTGCCCCCCTCGCCTGCCTCTCTCTGATGTGCCCATGTGATGCTCTTTGGCAGGAGAGTGGGGTCAGTTGGCAGACTGGCTGCTACAGTACCTGCAGGGATTTTCCATCTCATGCAAGCTGTGAGCAGGGCTTTCAGAAACGTCTGATTTACTCTCTGTCAGCCCAATTTCCCGTAAAACTCTCGCATGCGGCCGAGAGCCGTGCGTTTCACGACGCTGTGCGAGTCAGGATGCTCCAGGTGAAATCTGACATCGAGAGGGAGAACATCGAGGGATTGACCATTTATAAAAAATAACTCATTCGTAGGGATACTTGTAATCTCCTCACATTTTCCAAAGAGGTAACTATTTCTGATTTCTTCTTTGATTTTTGTAACTATCTCGCAGTTTCAATTTTTAAAAACTGATCTGTTGGAAAAAGATCAGCTGTGTAAATACGTCAAGGGGTAATCGGACATGAGCAGCTACTTGAGAACAAAGAAAACCCTCTTCTCACAACCAGAAGCCAGGCGTGCGAGCACCAGCGCGGCCACAGGGAGAGTCACCTTGGTTCGTTGCTGTGGGTTATTCTTTAAAACCACAGAACTGGGAATGTGACACGGGCGAGTACCAGACCCCTTCCTGAGCACAGCGACATGCGTGCGTCTGTGGGAGCCAGCACGGTCTCAGAAAACGAGTTCTGGGGAGGGTGACGTCCAATTCAAGCCACATTTTCACTGAAACCCTTTTCATTTGTAATGAAATGCGGAAGACCAAGTCCATCTTTTTCAGGGGGTATTTTTTGGCAGGGGCAGGAGATGTCAGAAGCTTTCAGTTCCTCAGTAACTGCAATGTCACCACAGCTCTAGAAGGGCCCGTGTCCAGCGGTCCGGAATGAGATTGGCTGAGATGCAGCGGTTGTGTCCTGGTGCTCCGAGTCGCAGCGCCCCCTGGGACTGGCTGAGAACGATCCACTGAAGGCAGAGCTGGTTTTCACCTGTCCTCCTCGTCCTCCTCTCCCAGCTGGGGCGTGCCCCTGGGCATCACCGTGGCGGCCGTGGTGCTGCAGAAGATCGGCTACGACGCCTCCGAGGTGTCGGTGGGCTGGTGCTGGGTGCGAATCCAGGCGCCCGACCACGTGCTGTGGATGCTGCTGACGGGGAAGATCTGGGAGCTGCTGGCCTACCTGGCGCTGCCCGTCCTCTACGTCCTCATCAAGAAGCACATCAGCAAAGCGGTGAGCTGCCACTCCCCTTCCCAGCCCGGCGGGCGGCACTGCGCCCCCTGCTGGCAGGCGGGGATGTGCGCGCCCCTCTGGTGTGCTCGGTCACGGCCACTGTAAAGGTGTTCCCACATCCCGGCATGCTTTCTCTGCCTGCTCAGGGATAAGTGATGCTCGATAAGCTCATAAACCTGGCTTCTGTTTAATGCCTTTGCAACAGGAGAGAATAAGAGAGCCGCACCCTTACCTGGGGATGTGTAACTGGGGGCCTTGATATGTAAGACTTGGGGAGGAGGATGGGAACTGGAGGGGAAACACCTCTGGATTCAGGGTTTAGATTGCAATCGGCAGTGAGCTCATAACTCTTTCCACACCAAGTCTGCAGAATGCTCAGTTGCCGTTTGTAGTATTGCTTAATGCAAAGGGTAGACAATTTGCTAACTTTGAAGATTTGTAATGGAACCTGAATATTTTTCTAATGTTGTATTCCATCATACAGTTGAACTGTCTTATTGTAAAGGGAGTTCCTGGAGGTGTGTGCAGTTAGCTGCCGCACGTGCACGGCCCCTCTGGATACAGCTTCCTTCCCATGATAACATTGCTTTTCCTCATGCGACCTGCCTCCCAGCATGCCGCGCTGTCGGAGTACCGCCCCATCCTGGCCAACAGCCCGCTGTCCCGCTCGCGCTCCTCCCTGGCGGACAGGAAGCTCACCCTCATCCCCATCATCTTCATCGCCCTGCGCGTTTGGAGCACCGTGCGGTTCTTCCTCCTGCTCTCCGGCTCCCCAGCGGTGCACAACGCAGTCCTGGTGACCCTGCACGTGAGTACTCCCCCCCGGGGGGCGCGGCCCACCAAAACAAGGAGACTGGGAAACGTTTGCTTCGGCTCAAGACTGTAGGACTTTTTGTTTTGGTGCGTCGTCTGAATTCGCAGTAGGCTGGGGTGGAGCGGTGGGGCTTGAACCAGGAAACCCCTGGCGACAAAGCCCCTTCCATCGTAGGCCAGGCTTGACCGTCATGCAGAGCCTGACGCAGAAGCTCAGGCAGGCGGCTGACGTTCGTTCTGTAGGCTTGCAGAATGAAG